ATAAACTTATGAAAGTTTCTAAATGTCATAAATAGATAAGTATCAATCGGTCTACATCGACATCCACGCACTCCTTGCTCTTCACTAAAACCATTGTGGTTAATTTGTAGTAAATTCATCACGATTGGCTCTATGACTTGATTTCAGCTTCGGTCTTTCATCATTAATGGTGCCCTGAAAATTAAAATAACTGACGCTGAAGTAAATACCATTCAATCATCATTCACATAAGAATACATAATCTACTATCTATACCTATATATAAATAAAATATATATCCATACATCAACATAACATTTTTTACAATTTTTGTCTGTCTGTCTGTCTGTTTTTTCCGGCTAATCTCTGAAATGGCTGGACCGACTTTTTTGGCAGGTAGCTGATGTAGTAAGGAGTAACTTAGGCTACTTTTATTTTAGAAAATAAAGTTAAATTCCACGCGGGCGAAGTCGCGGGTACAGCTAATATAATATATAATAGGAGATTTTTTTTTAATAACGTGGACTAGAAATTAACAGTGTCCTAATATTACGTCATTAACTCCTTTTAAATTTGTCAAATGGGATGCAAAGTTTCGTTACTATCTCGCTTATCATATTTCCGTCGTCAAACATACAAATTTCCAATAGATAATTATTATAGCTCAGAAGTCATGTATTTTTGTTCCATTGATAGATTAGTTAGTTAGTATCTACATACATTTATTTATATACATACCCCTAATATTGTAAAGAATAAGATTTATATTTTTGCATGTTAGTAATGAATAAACTGGTAAACTACTGGACAATTTTCAAAAATTCTTTCTAAATTACGAAACTAAATTTATTCTAGAAAAATAGTAGTTATTTCTGCTGAATCTTCAGTAGTGTAACCTAAGGTGTAAAATACGTCCACCCATGCGAAATCAGGGCGGGCCGCTAGTGTATGGATAATATTATGTTAATTCAACAAACGTTTCTTGAATGTGGCCGTCATTCTTACTGTAAAATTTTACTCAATTGATCAGCGGTGGTCGGCCGGCTGGTCGGCGCACGCGCTCTTCGTAACGGGCAGCTTTCACCGAGCTCAAAGGCTCCGCGCCGACATGCATGTTTATTAAGTTAACCATTTTAACAGGAATTCCCTTGTCGTCCATTTACGCCGCTATTAGTACTTACAAAGTATGTTTTTGGTTACTGAAGTAATTGTATGATACGTATATGTATGTACATGGTCCATATTATTGTTATATAACTGAATAAAGTCCCTTAGACAGATTTAATAAATAACAGCAAATATTTTTTACATACTAATGTTATAAATTAAATAGAAAGTTTGTAAAGACGTTTATCTTACTACGTATATCGTGCTTTGACGGCTGCACGTACTAGAATAAAGTTGGCAATATTTACTATACATTTTTAAATTAAATTACGAGGGGAAAGCTGCGTGATATTGATTCAAAATACTGCAGGAATCACTGAAAGGAAAATTTTTGTCAATTTTTTTTTCAAATTCATTGAATATAATCACAAAAATGGGTGCACTATGTATTAAATATGCTTAGCTATCTATAGTTTCGATGCATCGTCAATGCCAAGCTTTAGCCAGTTGCGTTTAACGGCAATAGAGGCTGTACAGTTAGGCGCATTCCTACAGCGACTAGCGGCATGGGGAGCGGGGTGACAGGTGCAAGGGAATGGGTCTACGAATGTACTTTTTTATTCGCACATTTAGATTTATTTTCTCAGACTTCATTTCTCTTTCATATTTTTGTAAACTGTCTTGTCTGTTCTTGTGTTTTGGAGGCCTCGGTGGTCTAGCGGTTAAGATGACTGCTTTCCTTTCGATTACCACTGGTTCGAATTTTCGCAAACATTTGTATTCATGAGTGTGATTGCTGATAGAGATAAGAGCGAAAATATTTATTTTCATTATTATGTACTTATTGTCTTATTTTTATGTATGCGCAATAAAGAGTTATTATTATTATTATATTGTTTGATCGTCAGTTGCGGTCTCAATGCATTCTATGTATTATAAAAAAGTAATATTTTAGTACCCATAACACAAGCTCAACTTAACTTGTGTGAATGGACCATGGTGATTATTTATTATTATATATTATACATAACGAAACAAGCAGTTTTCCACATCTTTGTCTGCGCAAACTCGTTATCCCCGTTCTCGTGGAAATTTCTCGTGAGAAAAATGTGTTCTCGAACTGCAGCTTGTTTTTTTTTCAGTTTGAATTTTCTTGCATATCGATGTTTTAGGCGAAAGCGTTTACGTATAGATTTTATGGTAATTAATTAGTGCTACAATGAATGTTTATTACCAGTGACTCCTCGCAGGTACAATGTACATAATATATAGCTAATTTTCATCTAGTAGTTAATGATTTCGGGGTTATCATTCCAATATACATAAAATCACAATTCTTTTTTTTCTTATACTAGTGTAAGTAACTAATTTGTGTATTGTACGTGCGCTATTCGGATGTATATGTAAGAGCGCCTCTTGAAATGTATATATACATTCATATATATATGGCTTGCTGGATTACGAATCTTGTACAGATTAGAAAGAAATTAGAAAAGAAATAAAAAAAAATAGTGGACCGTAGTTTAGAAAAGAAAATAATTAATGGAAAAGGAAGGAGAAATACGATTTCGCCTAGAATTTCTAAGAATATTTTCCACGCTCCGAACATTCCAAAGTAAGCAAAGTAACACCAAACTTACTTACCTTTGCTCAGGAGAGTCCCGATCCGTAGTACAGTTTAGTGGCCAAGAACTCAAGAGTGTATATTTTATTAGAAACTATAATATTAAATCAAATAATTCAATATTTTTCTTGATTTAAAACCGTAAAAATACGGAGCGTCCTTCTCCGCGTATTTCTTCCATATTTTTTTTCTATTCTAAGTATTTTTTCTCCTAAATTCTTGATATTTAAGTGGCCACATATTTTTCCAATGTGTGTCCAAAATGTTTGACAACCATATTTGTAGAAAGACTTATAAAAATATAGAAAGAAAAAAAAGAGGAGAACTAATCAATATTCACATTAAAAGGATAAAAAAAAGTTAGTACTCGCAATCATTATTTAATATCTGTTCGATACTCCTTTCTATCTGAACGTCTAGTATGTCTCGGAATGGTCAAGAAGTAAAGAATTAAACTACAAATGTGAGTACTAAACCCACATACATCTACATTATAACATGTATAACATTAATTGCAACAGCTTTTGTCGAGTGCTCTACCAGTTATGGCAATGTCGTAAAAAACATAATAGAGAGGTAGTGTGGGCGGGCTGCCCGCGCCCGCCCCTGTACTTCAAACATATGTAAATACTACTCCAGGTTTAGATAAATAAATCCATCTAAATAAATATATGAACAGGTTAATAAGAAATACTTAAAATCTTTTACAAAGTCACTTTTAAATATAATTGGACTAGAACAACCTGTTTGCCCTCCTGTTGGTAAGTGATAACGGTCGTTTATATACAATATACATACAAATTGCAGTACATTTGTGACATTAACTTGTGCACTACTCGCATGTACCACGTATAATTCCTCCATTTTCTGTGATTTCACTGTCACGAAGATATGTTACAAAAGAAGTTGTTTTGTGACTTAATGGGCGAAATATCTATCTTCAAACAATCAACCAGAAGACATCATACAAAGTCTACCTCAGAAAACCTCATAAATCACTTAATCGTAAAACTTTAGTGAAATATGTAAAGATCGTGTATATTGATTCAGAGATTTTATTTGTTGTTTGAAAAATTGTTACAGTATAAAATAACTAGCTGACCTGTGGAATTTAGTCTGTATCACACTTACTTGACAATTATCACCAAATTTCTTACAAAGTATCTTTTTAAATTATAGCCTTTGTGTTATTCTGATGTATATGCTATATTACTGTAAAGTTTCATCAAAATCCGTTCCGTAGCAAACATCCATCCATCCATCCATCCATAGCTGTCTCATAAACTTTCGCGTTTGTAATATTAATAAGATGATTAAAATTTCAACCAGTGTTGTTAGTAAATCGTTCAAAATTGAATCAATTTTCCATTTATCTAGAAAAATAAGTATTCATGTTAAACGTTGGCCGTTACTACTTGATATGACTAATGTAAATAATTTCGTAATAATACAAATTACAAAAGAAAATCGGTTTAATATATACATTCGATGTATATATTAAACCGATATGTATGTTATTATTTATGGAGGAAATTAGAATTTACTACTGTAATTATTTTTTACGCAATTCAGGCAATGTTTAAGCAGTCTAGAAAATCTATGATATTGTTTATTTATATTTTTAATAAAAATAAACAGTGATTGTGTAAATTTCAGGATACCATTTTCATTTGAACTTAGAAACTGTAATATGTACGTTTGGTATGTAAACTTAATTAACATACAAAAACGTTGTTTTAATAATCATTTGACATAGTCTGTCAATGTGCATTGTTCGAAGATTTTAGTTAAAACTGTTCTTTGTTTCATTTGAATGTTCGTTAGATACAAATCGTATACGGTATGAATATGTGAGCGCAATGTATTCCAATATATGTAGTATTTTCAGGTAACATTATACTTTGCGATATGTACTATTCGCAAGGAAAAAAATGCAATATTATCACTGTATGTGGATCTATTTGAAAAATAATAGAAATAAATTATTTCTTTGCTATTTGGTAGTTTGTATTCACACAAAATTTATGATATTTATATTAAATAAACTTTTTATGGTAATAATTTAATGTTTATCAATTTCATTATTCAATACAAACAATTATAAAAAACAATCATTGTATGGTAGACTTTATAGAAAATCGTCTTTGTAGTCTATCTATGTATTTCAGCCGCCAAGCGCTTTCTTTATACCGTATAACTTATCAGTTGTGTATATAAAATAACATTCTAGCAGCTATTTTTAGTTACTATATAACTATTATGTAAGTATTTAAATTCTTTTTGTCCATAGAACTTTGGCGTTGGGAATTGGCATCCAGAACTTCCCGGAAGGACTTGCAGTCAGTTTACCTCTTCAAGCTGCCGGATTCTCTGTTTGGAGGGCTTTCTGGTGAGTAGAGTTTTCTAGGTTTTAGTAATATCTAAAATAATTTATTTTCGCATATGATATACAGAAACGTCTTAAAACCGATGGTCGAGTTTTAACACTCTCAGAGCCAGACCCTAATTGACCGTTTACATCGCAAAAATGCAACAGGGCAGGGCTTTCATTTGTATAACAGATATATAGAAAACATGTTCCTAAAGGATACACGGCGCATTTACTAAGTAGAAAGATGTGTATACTTTTGAGTACACAGTGTGACAAAAAGATACACATGGCGCCTAAGGTGTTAAGACTTTTCTGAAATGACAATTCAAGTAAATTATATAAATGTTTTTTTTATCTGTGTCCGAATATACAGGTTTAGTCGTAAATGATTCCAAATCGACGAACTAAAGAACTTTCCCAAAGAAAAAAAACTTTTAAGCCCGTCATACTGACTCCGCGATCACACGTTCGATTTGGTAAAAATTATTTTCAGATTTTCATTTTCATGCGTATTATACATGTCTTTCGCTTTGATATACCTCATGACTATTCATTCTGTAATAATATTGAACAATAAATGATATGTCATATTAGTTGGGAGTTATTTTGTGGTGCACTGCGGTGCTCGCGAGTTAGATAGCGGCATGCGCTGGTTTAGAATGCGCCCGCGCTCGTCGTTAGGCCGGATGCCAACACAGCCAGACTGGCCGACCCCATTCCTGTTCAGGCTAATTCATTTAGCGACTATTGCCGAGCCAACGCATCATGTCGACTAAATGGACGTTAATGCTCAGTACATAAAGCGCTCCGCTTCAAATATCATCGAGCGCTTTCAAGTTTTCAAGTTGTGCGATTTTCATTATATCTATGGTAAGAAGTCGTTGCTATCTGGTTGCGATATATGTTCGTTACAGTAAAGGAATGTCAGAGCAAAAGGTTACATCTGCCGTGCGCAGAGTACGTGCCCGCATTGTAAACGTTACCAAATAGGTAAAAGTTGTAAATAGTCGCATTCCATGGTGTTCTCGGAATCGCTGGCGCCGCGCCGCCCGCCGCCGCGCACCACCGCACCACTCGCGCTACCGAGCTACAAAACTACCTTATTCTAGTCCAGGACATGGATACGCCTACTTACTACATCATTTTCTCTTCCAATTTGTATATATACACATCACATCCTGTTACGCCCTTTTATTGATTCTATTGAATCCTTTTACATTTATGTGTGTTGTTTCTTTTGTAATTATTTATATAGATTCTTAAATTGTTATATAATAGCAATGTCTTCACAAACTATATTAAATATCTAAAATTTTTCTATTCTGTTTCTTTGTTAAAATAACTTATATATATACTTATTTACATATAAAGCTTTGTAAATTTAACATATGACATCTTCTTTATAATTATACTTAATTCAAACGAGTTGTGGCTATATATTGTAACAGATAGATTAACAATTTTACGATCATAAAAAATCGTAATTTTCTAAGTTATTTGTACTAATCCTTCGTTTTATTATATATCATATTCGACGTTTAGGAAAAAGTAATCATCATGTTTAGATCAGTTAATAAGGTGTCAAATTGATTCCTTCATTATATCTATTATAATGCTAATAAAAATAGTATTTATAATTCAACATGACCCCGTTTAGACACGTGGTATTTTTATATTCAATTAGTAGCTGACTAAGTATTGTCACTTGAAGTATTTGGGTTACAAACACAAGTGAATGTTGACACCAGCCTACCTCTCAAATGACACTTAAATTCTCCTATTTGTATTAAATCTATCTTGGAATTATATTTCATATGATATGACTAAACTATTTCCTGTTTCCACGATTTATTTATTAAAATGTGTGGTTTATACATTTTATAAATAATATATATGCTTGCTTTTGTATACCATAAGTTTAAATTGTGCATTATTTGTAGTTGCAATAGTCGAACAATCGAATGAAATGACTAAACTGTTGCGATATAGAATAAAGGCACTATTTTACAATAGGATCAACTGCTTCGTCTGTTGCTTACGGTCAGGCTTAATTTTACTGCCCTATGCTTATTCATTAATAAAATATGAATTTTCCGTATATATTTTCCATATATGGCACCTCTACATTTTCGTGTGTTGTGGCGTGGTCCGTATTTATGTGGAAGCGATAGGAATGCGCTCGAGTGGGAATCCTGACGCGGAGGAGGGCGGGAGTCGAACAACGACCTCGTCTCGCTGCGCCACCCTGCACTCGCGGCGTTCGGTCACAAGCCCTATCTCTAAACCCTCAGTTTACACTAAACTTCTTCTGTTAATGAATAAATTCCATGTACAAACTATATTTATTAGTTGAAACTTGTTTTATATGATATAACGTTTATTGTAGTTCATAAAAGCTTTTATGAAATCTTAAATCGTTAATGGTCTGTATATAAGCGACCATAATGTTAATATGTATATTAAGATATTAAAGTCCTTTACTTAAATTGGATGGTTGGAAATCCCCAAGCGAGTAAGTTTAATGCAAGTGTTATAGAGTACGAAAGCCGTGAGTAATAGTAGGTCTGCAGTGCGGAATGCAAGGAGCGAGGAATGCAGCCCGGGCAAGAAGTGCCCTCGCCGACTTGCGCACCGTCGCCGCCTCGCGACCCCCCCCCCCCCTCTCCCCCACCCCCCTCCATCACCGGGAAAGCGTTTGCAGCCTTCTCATACATACAAATATAGGGTGGTAGAAACCACATTCCACAGGACTCGACACATTTTCTTTGAAAGATTCAATTCAGTTAAGAATAAGTCAAATTAAGTATAGAATTCTTTTCTTACTACTTCATAGCCTAGTATTTGACTGAAACATGTTGCAGAATCTAAAACCTGCTTGGAACAAATAAAATCCTTATATCCTACTAGCTACTCGACCCGGCTTCGCCCGGGTATACTTATATTATATATATAAACCTTCCTATACAATCACTTTATCTATTTAAAAAAAACCGCTTCGAAATCCGTTGCGTAATTTTAAAGATTTGAGCACATCGACAGCGACTTTATTTTATACTATGTAATAATAATTTATACAATCTTTTATTAAAGTACTCTTTTCTACAAAGAGTTGTTTCATACACACCTTTTTAGCCCAAATTGAAACATACATTTTAATTTTCTAAAAATATAACTGGTTAACTTGTTTGAATTGAAAAGATGCAAATTATTGACCTTATTATTGACGTTGAAGTCTTAATGCATGGTTTACATCAAAGAGGGCGAGTCGGCGAGCATCCGAGCACATCGGAGCGGATGCGCGCGGATATGTCAACAGCCGTGTTCATTCGAAAAACAAATGCATTGGATTCCGTAGGAACAAGCGTGCATCGGCAGGCAACCGACCGCGTCCATACGAACAAGAAAATAAATGTCCGCACAATGTGTGCACCCGTCTTGCATTCCGCGATGTGCGCGCAGACCCAACGGGGTAGTCAAAGTGACAAAGAAGTTTTGTTTATGCAAATAATTATTTGAAATTATTGCAAAGATAATTTCATTCCCTATAACGTATTGTAAACATTCTCTGATACCACGTGCTCCATTCATCCCATTTGAATATAAAATCGTTCGTAAAGTGTTCCATAACATTTACTTATAAGTCTTATAATATTTATTAAATAACTTTTAATTATTGCCATGAATAATTCAATTTTTTTTATTTTATTTAATTATTTAGATTACCCGATATTATTGTTACTTCTCTACCTACTTCTTAATGGCTAGTTTTAGGGATGAGGGGTCTATATAATATGTAGCTATACTATTTTTTATAATAGCTCTGAAAATTAAAGTAAGTATATAAACGTAATTACGTTTATATACTTACTTGTAAGTTACCTTACAAATTAGGTATACATACATTTATACCCTACGTAATATCTTCCAGTTGTACTATTGTTGTCACTATACAATGTTACATTGCTCCGTGTCATTTTTGAAATTTTGTACTATTTGGAGATGCCATATGTGTATGATGTACATAAGCACAATAACAACCAAGAGTACAAAATTGCATAAATTGTTTTTTAATTGGTCCTTTATCGAATTAACTCTTTCTGCGACTTTCAAAAGAAATAATAATAATTTTATTGACTTTTATTTCCACAGTGTACATTACCCGCGACTACGTCTGAATTTTTTTCCATAAAATGTCTGTTCTCATAATACAGTATATCTTCATGTCAAATGACATTACTATCCGTTGAGCTGTTTAGTCGTGAAAAGGTAAATAATCGTGAAAAAATTTATAATATTAGGTACGGATTGCTTATCTCAGTTTCCGAAAACCGTAGCGTAGATCCAACTTCACTGGAATCTATACTCTGGTTATTATTGTATAATAGATTAGAAACACACATAATTTGAATTGACTGATGTAAGAATGTAGTAACGGCGTGTAGCATTTGGTTTCTCAAATAGAAATAATGCGTAAGATAATAGATAGGTATATAAAATACAATGTTATGTAATCGAATTTCAATACCTAACCTTTCCACATCGATTTACTTATACCTATTGAATGATATATAACATTGGTTGCCATAGTCTAATCGATAAATATTTCATGTCTTTTTGTACTGAATTGAATAGTTCACATTAGTTTTTTGTTCCGCGATATGACATAATCAGATCAGGTAGTGTACTGATCCATTGTTGTAGACAATGCGTCTAGTCGACGTTTCTCACCGCATGCGCACATGACTCATAGTGACGTAGAAAACATCACGCATAAGCACCATATAGGTGCCTCATTCGTTAGACAACTTATTCAATTCGTGTACTAATCTAATAACTACATGTAATTTTGTATAATATCTTTTTTCTTGCCCATATCAGCGTGCCGCCACTGGCGCCATTTGCTTAGTCAACTACTCAGAGGTAATTTGAATTAGAATCGTATATTTGTTATATCTATATTGAGGCCCTCAGTCTGAGTAATATTGTATGAACAATGTCTGTATTGTAGCCATTGGTAT